ATGTCTGAATCTCCTGTCCAGAATTATGTTCCAAAGCCTTCATTGAGGATTCTAAAGTATGAAGTTTGTCCGTTAGAGATAACATCTCATCTTTGGACATAATTTTTATGGCATAAACCGTGCCTTCTTGTATTGACAATCTTTCCGTCAATCTGTCATAAGCTTTAGACAAAATCCGATTGTCACATTCAGCAGTTTTGATTCTCTCAGTTAATGTTTCATTTCCTACAGAAAGGGACTGAATCTTATGGTCCAGATCAGCTGTTCCCTCTTCCATAATAATGAATTTCTCCTTAACATCAGCCTGAAGAACTTCAATCTGATTCTTGAGAAGATTGTTATCAGCCTGGAGAACTTCAAACTGATTCTCGAAAAGATTGTTATCAGTCTGGAGAACTTCAACCTGATTCTTGAGAAGATTGTTATCAGCCTGGAGAACTTCAAACTGATTCTTGAGAAGATTGTTATCAGCCTGGAGAACTTCAAACTGATTCTTGAGAAGATTGTTGTCATTCTCAATTGCTTTTAAGCGGTCAATCTCTACCTTAAGAATCCTGGATTCGTCTCGTAAAGACTTTATCATATTTCTATTATCAAACCATTTGGTGCCAATGAAAACTACGAATCCCAGAAGGATCCATATATGTGGGGTGATAGACACCTCTTGTAAAATCTCCCACATGGTACAATTAAAAAAATCATTAAATTCTTGAACAGTAATGTGTTCAGACATTTTATTTATAAAAGAAAATTTTTTTACCTGCAATGATCGGTTCCTGCCAGTGGTGGTCTCTGTGTTTTTGGAGCCTGTCCTAGAACTAGCTCTTGTAGACCAGGCTGGCCTTGAACTCACAGAGATCCGCCTGTCTCTGCCTCCCAAGTGCTGGGATTGAAGGCGTGCACTACCAAGGCCTGGCAGGCCTCAAACTCACAGAGATCTGCCTGCCTCTGCTTCCCAAGTGCTGGGATTAAAGGCGTGCTCTACCACTGCCTGGCCGGCCTCAAACTTGTGATCCTCCTGCCTCTGCCTCCTTCAGCAAATCCTACCGGCGTGGGCCACCACAACCGGCCAAGTCACTTTGTAACAGACCAAATCTGACGCTGTGGCAGCTTTTGTTGCAAAACCGCAAGTACTTGAGCTTCTGCTAATTCAGGCAGTGGGGTTCCGCTGCAAAACTTAGCCAAGGCAGGCAGAATGGGCCTGTGTTGCCGAGTGTGTCTCGGACTCGGCACTGAGGCCGGAGTCATGAACTGAAAAACAGCACCCGGGAGGGTGCTGTGTTAGCTAGAGGGCTACCCGCTTGAGTCGGGGGCAAAATAGCCCGACGTTGGGGGCAAAAATGTAGCGGCGTAAACGAATGCAGACAGAGTGTAAAAATATATATATATATATATATATATAGCTTTAATGTATAAATAGACTTACAGAACCACCGTTCCTGCGGAGACCAGGAAAGCAGAAGGGAGAAGCTCGGAGCTTGCTCGCCAAATTTATAGGCAGACATTAGCCCGAGGCGAACACGCCCCTTAAGGGGCGGGACTTATCCCTACATCTCTTAAATCTGAATACTTTCTCTGTGCTCTACAGTGACCATTAGTATCTTAAGCCTCCCAGCTCTTACCCCTTCCTGGCCAATCCTCCATCTACACCATCCATGGGGTCAGATTGGGGCCCCAGTCTGTAAATCCATCAGCATCTTCCCATCATGCCTGGAATAAAGGCAGAGCTCTTTCATAGCTAGGAAGCTGCAAATGTCTAGCAAATGTCTACTTTCTCTCTCTTTCTCGTTCTCAGTCGTACAGACGGGGTTTCCTGCTTTGTAGCCTTGAGACCAGATGCCACCTGCCTGAAACCAGTACCTCCTCTCTTCCTGTGGCGTCCCTGACTGCTCAGGCTCCTGGTTGCGTAGTACCTGGTTGTATAACTTCCACAGCGGTAAGCATCCTTTATTTCCTACCTTCTGCTTTTCCCTTTGCTTTTATCTTTCTTACAATGATTACACCAGAAACTCTCTCGTGTACTCCAGCTCCTCCATCAGAATGTAAACTCTCTGGCCCTCGTATCCCCAGTACTCAGAACAGCACCTGCTGCACTAGCCCTCCAACACTGTTAGGGGCAGGGCCTTGAAAGCCCCTGATGGTGAAGCCTGCACACACACACACAAGCACATTACAATTGTTTCGTCAAGGAAACAATACCCACCCTTCCTGTGCTCACATTCTATTTCATTGAGAAAGAAACAGAGGAACATAGGAGAACAAACACTATCTACCAGGTAGTTGAAATTGTTGTGGTCATGGGAGCCAGAGTGGGGTTGGTGCAGGGGCCTGGAGGGAGGGGTAAGTGGGGAGTCACTAATACAGTGACCATCCAGGGAAACAAGTTGAACTGATCCTAAAAGGTTGCTGTTTCAACACTGTCAACAACACCATAGACTCTATTTTCAAATTCTAAGTAGAGACTGTATCAATTAGTCTTGCCAATAACAATATAATTACTAAATTAATGTATTTACAAGCTCACACACCAAAATAGAAGAAAATATGCTGGTTGAAGCCCAATGAATTGACGCCATAATCTACCTACAGGTCTGAACCTGCAGCAGAAACCATTCCTCTAGTGCACCTGTCTTGAAGTGGTTTTGTTCTTGAGTTGTTCTCCAGTAAGTGGAATCCACAGTACTAATGTTTTTGTAAGAACTGATCTATTCTTACTTAATGCTTGTTCTCAGCAGGCAACTTTTTCTCTCTGGTAGCAAAATTATATTTCTATGTCTCATGTGCATTTTCCTGATCACTAATAAGATTAGCAGTCTTTAAAAAAGACGCAAAAAGATACTTTATCCAAACAAAACAAAACAAAACCCTGTAAACCCAGCCAGGTGGTGGGGAATGCTTTAAATTTCAGCACTTGGGAGGCAGAGGCAGGCAGATCTCTGTGTGTTTGGGGTGTGGTCTACAGAGCTAGTTCCAGGACAGCCAGGCCTATACAGAGAACCCCTGTCTAGAAAAACCAAACCAAACCAAACCAAACCAAAAAACAACAACAACAAAACAAAAAAACAAAGAAGGAACAAAAAAAGAAACATGTAAACCAAATTTTTTGGCTTTTTGAGACTGGGTTTCTCTGTATAGTCCTAGCTGTCATGGAACTTGCTCTGTAGACCTGGCTGGCTTTGAACTCACAGAGATCGCCCTGCCTCTGCCTCCCAAGTGCTCAGATTAAATGTGTGCCCCACCACCTGCTGCCACCACCACTACCCCACTTCTAAATTTGAGATAAAGAATGCTGCTGGGTGACAGTGACACACACCTTTAATCCCAGAACTCGGGAGGCAGAGGCAGGAGGATTTCTGTGAGTTTGAGGCCAGTCTTATCTACAAGAGGTAGTTCCAGGACAGCCAGGGCTGTTACACAGAGAATCCCTGTCTCCAGATAAATAAATAAATAAATAAATAAATAAATAAAAAGACTAAGAATGCTTTTATCAGAACTTTAACAGGCAAAGCGACTTGGATGTTCCCTTCATTCTGTGACCCCACGTGTTCTGTTTTACTTGCACAGAACTATATTCACAAGAACACTGCAGAAGGATAGTTTTATCTCATCGTTCACTTAGTTGTTTATTTGACCGACAAATGTTGATTGAGGACCTGGCTGCTACCAGGAATTTTTCTAAACAAACCAAACGCTGATTCTGGAGTTCTTTGTCTCTTGCACAGATGGAGGGTGACCTTTGGGCAGCTTCTTCCCATCCGTTGTCTTCCCACGTTATTTATTTATAAGGTTTTATGGTCAATATCTAGAGAAAACTGTATGTGCACATGCACGCATGTTTCCATGCTCTGTTCACAGCCATGGACTGTGGTGGCATCATACCAAAGGAAAGTTTTGAAATGAGGGAAAATGCTTTCACTTCAAGCACTGTTTTAAATCTATGATTATAATTAAAGGCTTTTTTTTTTTTTAAGGCATCACAGTTTATTCGGTTCTTTCTTCTTTAAGCGAGTGTTTTTTTTTTGCCCTTTAAAAGAGGGAAGCCTGTCCGGAAGATGGTGGCTCCCGCCTTTAATCCCAGAACTCTTTATCCCAGCACTTGCAAGGCAGAGGGAGGCGGATCTCTGTGAGTTTTAAGACAGCCTGGTCTACAAGAACTAGTTTCAGGACAGGCTCCAAAGGTAGAGAAACCCTGTCTTGAAAAAAAAACAAAAAGAGGGAAGCCTCACTTATTTTATTGGTGTGGCTGGTTTGACAGGAAGGGTTATGAAAAACAGGTCTTCTTTCAAACTAACCCGGGTAGTTTCCAATTTTACCTGAAGCAGCTTGTATCTCAGAAAGATAAATCTCTAAAGACTTTTACCCTCCAGGTAAGTCTTTTTGGACCTGCAAGGAATGTTTGCTACTTTAAAACCCATGAGTCAAGGGTCAAACAGTCGACTTCAGAATCTTTCTGGAAGCACCAAGACTTAACACAGCTAAAGACTTCAGACAGATAATGGTGTGGTTTGCTAGATAAGAGGTGCTACGCCCGGGATAAATCAGCTAGTTGTGGGTGGTGTCGCTGCTGGCTTCTTTGACATTTGTCCATTTTTAAAAGATTAAACCACAGCAGAAAAGAGAACGCCGGGGTTGGCTCTGCACGCAGTCTTTGCCAGCCCTCCCCTCCCTCGTGGCGCTTGCAAATCAGCGGGCCAGTTCCAGGACCACGGCAGTCACTTTCGCGCCACTTTCTCAGGACCGCGCAGCTTCATAAAGAAAAGGCAGCAATAAGTCCCCCAAATGCCATGTTTCAAAGCGCATTCAGCAGTTCCCGAGGACACTAAAGATTACGATGGTCGAAACCGCTTCGGTATTTTTCCCCCCGGGACTTGGGCTCTACGGACGCTGAGAGAGTAGTCATCTTAGCTGGCAGGACCTGTGAGCCGGCGCGGGAAAGTCGGCGGCCCCGCCCCTCCGGCGGCAGAGTGCGCGCCCCTCCTCTGCCCCGGAGCTCCCTCTGCTCCGCCTGCAAGTGCTTTTGGGCTCCCGAAGACCTGTCCCCGCTTGGTACCCGCCGCCAGCATGGAGGCTCGCCGCACGCGGGTGAGGCCCGGCCGGGTGCACTGGGGCGGAGTTGGTGGGTGGCTGGACGCCGGCGGGCAGGGGCCACTTCCCTCCGACTCCGCGGGTGAGCGCCGCACTCTTGTCCCACGGTGCTTCTGTTCGTCGCCAGGTTGGGGGAAGTCACGATTGCTTTTCTTATAATCTTTGCACCCAGGATAACTCTGGGCTAAGGTGATGCGCCTGCCGCGGGGTTGGCAGTGCTGGAGGAGCCTACGGTAGGTGCGCTCGTGCTACACGTGCGCGCCGGAGGCGGCGCGGGGGGGGGGGGGGCGCTGGTGGCTGGTGGTGGTGTCCGGCGGACGAATCCCCAGCCTTTCCGTCCCCTGGGACTTAGCTCTGCATTACTTGCTCACGACGGGTGCGTGACTTTTCACGCGTGCACCGGTGGCCCTGGAACCCGCTTCCTCTGCTCTGAGGCCCCTTCAACCACTCTGGATCTGTGGGTTTAGGATTGAAGGCCTTGTGAACATCTCTTGAGAACTTGGGTTGTGCACGTGGGGGAAGGTATTGTTTTAGTCCTAGGCTGTGACTGAGCCCAGTTCAAGGGTCTGGCGGTGCAAGCCGTGTATCACGGCGGTTTAAAGTGTGCTTCCTTGTCCCCTCCTCCCCACCCCTTTTCTACCTCACTGCAGCTGCGAGCTGCCCCGAGTGGAACGTTACTTTTTTGCTCCAACGGAAGCCTGAACTTAGGTCCTGCCCTGAAGAGGGTCGAAAAGTGAGGGGGATGGGCGGAAAGGAAGACAGTGACTTAAAATAAATATTAGAGGTTCGGGACCCTCTGGGGAGGTCTGGGTGAGTAGGCGGGGTCGTGGTTTGATCATTATCATTACGATTATCTCCGCCCGTGGGGAATTGGACTGAATGCGCATTTGGGCACCCGGCTGGAAGAATCGGTTTCACCCCTCCGAGTTTCAGTTTTCCTGATTTAAGTGATAGTAATAATGCCACCTTTGCTTCAAAATATTAAGCAAACATCGCTAGCAAGTCTGCCGTCAGTTTTCCTGATTTAAGTGATAGTAATAATGCCACCTTTGCTTCAAAATATTAAGCAAACATCGCTAGCAAGTCTGCCGCCAAGAAACGCTCGCCATAAATGGAATTAGAGTTATGTCTGCCAAGAAAGTTCACCCCAGGCGTGGCCATTTCCTCTGCTTTTCTGTGCCTTTTCCCTCTAGGATATATTTGGCTGGTGGATGACTTTTGGCCTGCCGTGGCTTGTTAAAGCTTAGCCTGTTTTCTTGGCTGACATGGAGGGCTAATGACATAGATTGATTAGAAAAGTGAAGAGACTCGAAGTCATTTAAGGAGCGGTGCTGTTTTAGGGGATCTCTTGGGTTTTGCGTTGTGTTGTCTTGGGCTTTCTCATCTGGAAAACGGAGCAGAGACTTTTGGGTTTCCTTTTGACTCCAGACAACACACTGGCTCGAGCATTTACTGTAAATACAGCTTCTATATTTTATAGCTTTACCCATTCGCCACATGGAATGAGGGGAGGTTGGGTTGCCATCATCTGGGAAATAATCTTTTTTTTTTTTTTCGAGACAGGGTTTCTCTGTGGCTTTGGAGCCTGTCCTGGAACTAGCTCTGTAGACCAGGCTGGCCTCGAACTCACAGAGATCCGCCCGCCTCTGCCTCCCGAGTGCTGGGATTAAAGGCGTGCGCCACCATCGCCCGGCTGGGAAATAATTTTATTGACTCTGAGAGACAGAATTTCGTGAGGAAGTCCAGCTCTCCACATCTAGGCATTCTCTCTCCCCCTAACGCATCTGGGCACTCTTGTGGAGCTGGTAACAGCTTGCCTTTCCAGTTTTCAGTGCTATTCCGTGAATCTATTTAAGACTATAAGATCTGGCCAGGTGATGTGGCGTGTGCCATTGATCCCAGCACTCGGGAGGCAGAGGCAGAGGCAGATGGATCTCTTGAGTTCCAGGCCAGCCTGGTCTGCAGAACTAGTTCTGTACCAGTGAAGTTACATTTTCTAGTGAACAGTACAGGGCTGTAAATGGGACTGAGTGGAGCATTTTTGTATCTCCAAGTAATTTTACCTTATGAAAACTTAAAAAAAACCACCTCTTCCCCATGGGCTGAGAATTGATCCCAGGACTTTGCCTACTAGGCAAATGCTTACCACTGGGCTCTACACACACACACACACACACACACACACACCATTTCAAGGCCTAAGGAGCCGTGAGAGGGCTCTGCATGAAGACGGTCATGGAGAGCTCAGCTGGACTTTGAGTATGAGTTGCCCTCTAACTTGGCTTCTTGGGCCATGTGTTTGTGGGCTGATAATCCTTGATTTGTAAGGGCCGTGCAGCACCTCCGTACCCCTCCTCACTGGAACAGGGCTGTTTGGATGACTGCCATCTTAAAGCACAGGACCTGCCCAATTTTTGTAGTTTGGGAAATTAGCATGACAGTGCAGCGCTCAAAGCCTACATAAAAAGACCTCATTAGCTTGGTTTTTGGCTGAAGGAGAAAACTTGCTCTGCCATCTTGCACTTTCGAAATCTCCTTTGAGAAGTACAGTTCAATCAGAAAAAAAATGAGGTTGGATTTTGGGAGCTGGCATTAAAGTCAGTGGAGCTGAATATAATGCTGATGCTTAGGACTATAGGGTGGGAAGAGAAGTACTGCAGATGTTTGGATAACTTGATAAATATCATTAAAATGTTCTCCGGGAGTGATCCTTTCTCAGAGTTTGACCTGAGTTGATTGGAGGGGGGTTAGCCATTGCCAATCTCATTCTTTCTCTGTAGGGCCTGGAATAGCAATGTGTTTGTCTCCTCTGCAGACTGAGAAAGATGTCTTTAGTGGTCCTGTGCTGCAGGAAGCATACCACTCAACAGTGTTGCCATTTCTCCTTGCAGCAAAAGGCTCTCAAAGTGAAGGACTCAAAGAACGTCAGCTATATGGAGCTGATTTCCATGGAAACGTCGTCCTCCTCTGATGACAGTTGTGACAGCTTTGCTTCCGATAATTTTGCAAACACAGTAAGTGCGGCCTGAGAATAAACAGAATTGAGTCTGCGATGCTCCAAATGCCCCAACATGCTTTGTGTGCGATTAAAACCGCTTGCTTTTTGCCTGCATTTCTGTACAGACGCTAGGAAAATATGGCATGCGCTGTAATTTCATCTCGCTCTTTGCTGTGGTTCTAGGTAGTAATTGTTGGAGGTAGATTAGCTGCTTGTTGTGTCCTTTTGAAATGTCGCCTAACCCAACAGGACTGATGACTCGCTGTAACAACTCAGAAATCATTTGTAAACCTCTGAAACGTTTTTCTTTGTAACAAAAGCCATTCTCTTGTAGTGCACTTGTAAATGTGATTTGCTCTCTGCACGGTTTATGGAAAATTGGTTCTTGAAAGAAGAAAAAAAAATCTACAACCACATTTATTTATTTCACAGAAACCTAAATTCAGGTCAGATATCAGTGGAGAACTGGCTAATGTTTTTTATGAGGGCTCTGATAATCTTCCTGCGGCTCTCCAAAGGGTGAGGTATGAGATGCATTGAGCCATTGTGGATTTTTGCAGAAACCAAGGCCAGATGTCGCTAACGAATTGGCCAGCATTTTTCATGCCGACTCTGATGATGAATCATTTTGCGGTTTTTCAGAGAGTGAGATACAGGATGGAATGGTGAGTTTGAGAAGTTCACCAGTATCAAGAAGTGAGGTGCATGCAGAGGCTGGAGAGATTTGCTCTTTGACCCTCCCATCCCCCCCCCATCATCACCCTCCCTCCAGCTCTCCTGTCAGTTCAGCTGCCAGACTTGTACCCCTGATCAAATGCTTTCTTCGCTTCTTAAAGCCATGTTTACTCATATCCTCTTTGTAGGCCTTAGACTTTTTTTTTTAAGGTTCCACAAATCTTGGAAATTTGTTCAACAAGGTTGGCTAGCCTCCCGATGGCTGTTAGCCTCAGATCTGGCCTAATCACAGGAAATGCATATGTCCTAGACTGCTTCCATCGGCACGTAGATGCAGGTACCCGGCCCAGTGCTGGCCCAGAGCTGACAAAGGCAGGTTCCATAGTTGTAGCTGTGCCTGCATCTTGAGAACTGCCAAGGACATCGTGTAGGTGATACCAAGTAGGGCTTCTGCCGCTTCTGTGTTTGCTTGCTCTCTGGTCCGCTTCGCCGGCCCGCATACGCTGGAGCGAGTGTAGCAGCCTTGGACTTTCCCCTAAGGAAGCGAGCGGGGTGTATATTACAACCACCTGCATGCTACTATCTTCACCATCTCTGACAACGGTCCCCACAGGCCACCCATCGGGTGACACTGCTGTGAGGGACAGCACTGGCCCTGGGACTATTTTATCACCGTCCGTAACAATGCATGCTTCCCCTAATCAAAGACTTTCGTCCCAGTTGGTGGCTGGGGACAGTGTGCAGATCTGGGTGTGACCCATTTGTCTGTGGCCTGACTGTCCTAGGCAGTCCATTAACTCTCTGTAGGTATTAACTTGTGATGAAGAAAGTGGCGGCTGATTGAAAGTGCTAAGAATTCATGACAGTTTTGTTTCATGACCTCCGTCCGGGAACAATGAAAGCTGCCCATGGGGATCCTTAGTGGGTACTGCGCAGCAAACCCAGGGCCTTAGACACGCTAAACATAGACCCTGCCGCTGAACTACATCCACAGCCCATTCAGTTTTTCGAGGGGCTGGGGAGATGACTCTGCTTGCCATGTATAAATGCTTAGTGGGTGTAGTGGCTCATCTGTAATCCCAGCTTCTCAGAAGGCAGAGATAGGGTCGCTAGGGCAAGCTGGCTGGCAAGACAGCTTGCATGGCTATGGCACATCCAAGAGCTCTCTGGCTTTGATTGAGAGAGCCTGTCTCAATCAGCAAGGTCAAGGGTGATTCCTGATACTAAACTCAGGCTTGACGTGTGCACACGTGCAAGAATGAGAGTAACGCTGTCGTGAGCAGTCCTGTCCAAAGCTTTTGTATGACTGTGTTCTTTGGTCTAGACCTAGGAGTAGGTGGTTGGGATTTCTAGAGACTTTAACTTTTGAGCAAGCTGTATTAGTTGATACGAAGTGGTATCCTATCTAGATCTTTTTGACATACAAAAAGTTAAGTTGTGCAGTACCTAGACTGGTCAAATTCAAAGACTAGAAAGATGGTGGTTGTCACAGGGACTGGTGGTGGGGAGAACGGATAATTTTTCTTTATTTGCTTGTTTATGAGACAGGATCTGGCAGTGTAGTGTAGAACTCGCTGTGTAGCTCAGGGTTCCTACATGTAGAGTTTACACACCCATACACAACCTACCATACTGTTGAACGAACCTGAAGTTTCAGTTGGGGAAGAGAAAAATCTTGAAATGGTCTGCACATAGTGATGTGCATTTTAATCACAATTAAAAATGAATTTGATATGGACAGTTTAGGAGATCATTTATTGCCATCGGAGGCATTGAAACCATGTTCGTGGGTGAGCATAGGTGCTCCTAGAGGACCTTATGAAAATGACTAAGGATTGGTTTTAAGGAAATGGGAAGAGGGCAGGAGTTTTTTTTTTTTTTTTTTTTTTGGTTTTTCGAGACAGGGTTTCCCTGTGGGTTTGGAGCCTGTCCTGGAACTAGCTCTTTTAGACCAGGCTGGTCTCGAACTCACAGAGATCCGCCTGCCTCTGCCTCCCGAGTGCTAGAATTAAAGGCGTGTGCCACTACCGCCCGAAGGAGTTTTCATGTTTTAAAAAATCAGAAGCATAGGTCTCAAGACTGTAAAGACAGTGTCTGAGACGAGCAACCGAGTGGAGCTCTTCTCCGTTGTATTCATTTTCAAGTCTTGATTTGTTACCCATGATCCTTGCTGTCCACTTACGGCTGATTTGTCCTTGTCTTTTATTCCAAATGGATTTTTTTGTTGTTGTTGTTGTTGTTGGTTTTTTTTTTTGAGACAGTGTTTCTCTACGTAGCTTTGACTGTCCTGGAACTCACTCTGTAGGCCAGGCTGTGTTCAAACTCATGGAGATCCACCTGCCTCTGCCTCCCTGAGTGCTGGGATTAAAGGCGTCTGCCACCGCTACCCGCCCCCCAAAAGGATTTTGTAGTGGTCTTTGGTTTCGCTTGTATATGCCAGTCAGCAGGTCCTTACCAACTCCCTTTCTCTGGTTGACTAGAGACTGCAGTTGGACAGGGAAGGCTGCAGGACCCGAAGTCAGTGCCGTCCCTCGGGACCTCTCAGGGTAGCCATGAAGTTCCCAGCACGAAACCCGCGGGGGCCAGCCAACAAAAAAGCTGTCCCCTCAAAACCCCCTGAGAACTCTGCAAATGATTCCCATTCTGACTCTGAGGAAGAAGACGGTATGAACTTTCTGGAGAAGAGGGCTTTAAATATAAAGCAAAACAAAGCAATGGTAGGTGTTTGGATGCACCCGAAGGAACCCTTTCCGGCTTTTCTCTAAGCAGTTGAGTTTCTTCTACCGCTGTGTTTGCATGTAGCTGTGAAGACGTAATGATGTGTTTTGAATGTTTATATTTGTTTTTATTTACGTGGGGGAAGGGGCTCTGCTATGCGTGCAGTGCCCTTGGAGGCCAGAAGAGGGCATTTTGTATCCCCTGGAACTGGAGCTAAGCCTGGTTGTGCGTTAGCATGTTGGCGCTTGGAACTGAACCCGGGTCCTCGGCAAGAGCAAGTGCTTTTACTAAGTAGAAGGTTGAGGGATAGGCTAGTATTATTCCCACAAATTGCCTCTTGTCACCAGTTACAATTGCTGTTTACTTTCTCCCCCTTTAGCTTGCAAAGCTGATGTCAGAATTAGAAAGCTTCCCTGGCATATTCTCCGGAAGACATTCTCTCTCTGGTCATGGATCCAAAGGTGTAAGTGCTTCTTCCTGAACTCTTGTTTTGGACACGCCCAGAACAGATCTCTGAGATTTTAGAGTCTTGTTTTTGTATGGGGGGGGGTGGGGTCATTAGAAACAGCCCTTTTATTTTTTTCTTCTTTGGTTTTTCAAGACAGGGTTTCTCTGTAGCTTTGGAGCCTGTCCTGGAATTAACTCTTGTAGACCAGGCTGGCCCTGAACTCACAGAGATCTGCTTTGCCTCTGCCACCCTTGACCATGCCCCTTTTGATGGGTTCTCTCCATACTAGCAGCAGGGAAGATTGATAACTTGTTTCTGTGTACTCAAGCAGCATATTTTTTTCCTACATGCTATATGCAAAATAGGGTTTTTGCTTGTGTTTTGTTTTTGTTTGCTTTTGATTTTTCAAGACAGGGTTTTTCTGTGTCATAGTCCTGGCTGTCCTGGAACTCACTTTGTAGACCAGGCTGGCCTCAAGCTCACTGAGATCCACCAGCCTCTGAGTGCTGGGATTAAAGGTGTGTGTGCGACCACCGCTTGGCTCAAAATCGGTCTTTTTAAGACATATTGAGGTAAAAGTACACAGAATTTCTTTGTCAAGTCATACCCTACTAAGAAGTGGATCTGTATTGTGTGTTTCCTTCACCAGTCAAAGTCCCCTAGAAGACGCACATTCCCAGGCGTGGCTTCCAGAAAGAACCCTGAACGGAGAGCCCGGCCTCTTACCAGGTCAAGGTCCCGGATCCTGGGGTCTTTGGGCGCTCTGCCCACAGAGGAGGAGGAGGAAGAAGAGGAAGAGGATAAATACATGCTAGTGAGGAGGAGGAAGTCCATGGATGGCTACATGAATGTGAGTCCTCCTCCATGATATCTCCTGTTTCCCCTCGGGAAGCTTAGCATTGAACACACAGCCTGAGGCCACTCCACGCCATCAACGCTACCTAAGCCATTAATGCTACGTAAGCGTCCTTCATTTTGTTCTCGGACAAGAGCCAGATTTTCAACTTCCCAATATTTGTAAGAATTGTTTCTACGCTTCCGGCTAGTTATCCTGACAGTAAATTATGCGGGCTGCCCCCTCTCTTCATGAGCCAGAAAGATTTCCCAGACTGAATTTCCTGTGAAAAGTTTTACACGAAGCATCTTGAGATTTAGGGCTACAGAGAGGAACTCGATTTCCTGCTTCTTCTGCAGGACGACGACATGCCCAGAAGCCGTCGCCCTGGATCCATGACCCTCCCGCATATAATCCGCCCTGTGGAAGAAGTTACCGAGGAAGAGATCAGGAACATCTGCAGCAACTCTCGGGAGAAGATCTACAACCGGTCGCTGGTGAGTGCCCCGGGGTTGTCCCCCTCCAGAGGACAGACAGCCCCTGTTTTAAGGGTGCCTGCCACACATGGTATATGTGTGGTCTGGACATTCAGCCCTGCACGTTTTTTGTTTTTTTATACAAGGGAAGAAGAGTTTTACAGTATGCCTGGAAAGTCTGCAGTAGGGTTATATCTTCTTAACATAGAAGTTGATTCGTGCAGCTTGGATTTACTGTGTACTGTTAGGGTGTGTGTATCGGTAGCTACTGGAATGCAATGGTGAGCCAAAGGGGTTTGTTGTTGTTGTTGTTCAAATGGATTTGGGAGAAGAAAAATGGATTTGGTGGCATTTTTTTTCCTGTGCTGGGGATCACACCCAGGACCTTGAGTGTGTTAAACGTGTACTCTGGTCTGAGTCGCATCTCCTCCTCCTCACCCCAGTAGTTTTGATGACACTACTATCGTCCCACCAATAGAGTGGGAAGCCTTGCTTGAGGTACTTATTTTCATATTTGTGTGTGCGGGTGCTAAGTGAACTTCAAAGATCGAGTTTCAGGTCCCTTATTAGAGTGTGGGTGTTCTTTGTGTCATTTTTTGTTTTGTTTTGTTTTTTCTCTGCAAACAGCAGCAGGTTTTGCTTCTTCTCTCATCTGGTCCTCCTTTCAGGGTTCTACATGTCATCAGTGTCGCCAGAAAACCATTGACACCAAAACAAACTGCAGGAACCCAGACTGCTGGGGCATCCGGGGCCAGTTCTGTGGGCCCTGCCTTCGAAACCGCTATGGGGAAGAAGTCAAGGACGCTCTGCTGGACCCAGTAGGTGCTGGAAAAGATTGGGGGAGGGAATTGAACTCGCGGTGTCAGGAGTCCATGTTGTGGTTCTGCATGGATGTAACTGTCCAGAGAGCTCAGGGCTGCTGCTCATAGGTCGATTCTGTGTGTGTGTGTGTGTGTGTGTGTGTGTGTGTGTGTGTGTGTGCCAGGGCTCTAGAACCCAGGGCTTTACATACGCTAGACAAATGCTCTCATGCTGAGCCAGAAACTTGGATTCCTGTTTTATGACTTAGTTATTCATTAAAAAAAAAAAGTCACAGGGTAAATGAGTTGATGCTGAGTACTTGAGTGGCTAAAGAAACGGAACCAATGGATGGAGGTGAAGGGATGCTTAGCCTCAGGGTGCTTTCCCACAATTCTTCAGAACTGGCACTGCCCGCCCTGCCGAGGAATTTGCAACTGCAGCTTCTGCCGCCAGCGGGATGGACGGTGCGCCACAGGAGTCCTCGTGTATTTAGCCAAGTTTCATGGCTTTGGGAATGTGCATGCTTACTTGAAAAGGTAACCGCCATGTGTTTTTCCTCTTTCATGTCTGAGTCTTGGTTGCATTTATGCGCCTTAATAAGATGATAGACGTCTGGAGAGAGGCTCTCTCGGGGCAGGTTAGCGGAAATGCGTCTTCAGTTGAGCAGGCCATGGATATAACATAGGTTGGATGACTAGTACTCGTGTGTTGACAGTATATATGTTAGGGCTCCATTTTTTTTTTTTAAGAAATAAATTTGACTTTCCAGAGCGAATTATTGGTTTAGAGCCATCTTGACATCTTCCTCTTTGCCCTTCACAGTCTGAAGCAGGAATTTGAAATGCAGGCCTGAAGATCCACTGCCTGCTCTCGGCTTCTCAATGCTGTCTTCTTGACGCTGTCGTTGATGGACGCCCATCGCCCTTAGAAGTCAGTCAGATTAATCTTGTGGGATTCACACTTGTTTCGGGACCTCATACCGCTAGTTACTCTTCAGCTACATGTAGTTCCCCAAAGTTTGCCCTGGCCCCTACCTTGTAGCCTCCCCACTCCCACGGTCCTTTGCCACCACTTGAGTTCTTCTTAAAGTGGCAGTTTTCGAAAGCAGATTTGTTTTATTGGTGTTGAAATCGTCTCAGGACACACCAGTAAACCCAAGCACTTAGGGGTCCAGTAGTGTTGGGAACAACGGTTCTGCTAGATTGCAGAGAACAAGTCCCTCCACTTGTTTGCACAGAATCGATGCTTGCTTAGCTAAGTCTTGCGTGCTGTCGGCTGACGTTTGAAATGGATCAGGCCGAGGCACAAACAAAGGTCTGGAAACAATGTGGGAAATTAGGTGATTGCTGGGAAGTGGAGTAGCACATTGAATGACTTTCTGGAAACACAGAACTCCTTTGTGTTGTGCTCAACGTCCACCCTGTCGCAGTGGAGACTCGATTGCTGCTAAGATCGTCCCTAAGTTAGAGTGGTCCATCTATGCACAGTCTCCAAAGGTTTGTGGTAACGTGGTACCAGAATTACTTAAACTGCTGTAGAAGAAGCCTTCTAGGAAGAGAAGACGATCCGTCTCTGTGATGGGCCGATTGAAATCTTGCTGTGATTTCAGAAACTTAAATAGCTTCCTTTGGTTCCGGAAGTTTCCTGAAGAGGATTCCCCGGGGGTTGTGTCCAGGGTTTCCTTTAGATTCTAAACAGTTTTGTGACAGTGAGCGGTGACCTCTTAGAGATGGGTAGCGAGCTACCCCTGCCAGTTATGGGCAGATGCCGTGAGTCGCCCCCCGCCCCTTTCCTGTCGCTGTGTCCTGCTCTGTTTGTGATGCTCGCTGGGCCTTGAATCATTCGGTGTAAATACAGCTTTTGCTTTCTAATGCTTTTATACAAAGGTTTTTATTTTAATAATAAAACATTTTGCTTAAGCTTGTGTGTTTATTTTTGCTTTTTAAAAATCAGTATTATTGTACTTAGTCCCCTTCTCCCCTTGTGTTTTGAAAGGTCATTTCTGCCTCTTCTACTAAAACTTTTCTCTCTTGGCTTAAGTTTCTGATGCCCACAGGCAGCTCTTTTGAGCAGGGTCCCATTTGATGATGTGACTCTTAGCAGAACACGCGTGTGCTTGGCAAGTCTTGTATTGTTTTCCTTTGTTGTTCACAGGACTTGCCCACTTTTATCAAATACTTAATAAATGTGTTCCACGCCTTGAGTTTTCAAGACTGTAAGAACCAGAACATACAAAAGACAGAAACACTAGAGCAGGTTGTGATGGTACGAGGAATCCCAGTTCACAGGAGACTGGAGCAGGAGGATTGCAAATTTGAGGCAAGCCTCAAAAAAAATTATTATTTTTTAGAGAAGATTTTGTTTTATATGTTGCATGGGTTTCTTCTGCATATGTGCAGTTGCCCTCGGGAGGTCAGAAGAGGATGTGGGATCCCATGGAGCTTGAATCACAGGAAGTGTGACCCGCCAGATGCGGATGCTGGGAACGGAGTCCATGGAGAGCAGCAAGCACTCCAATTGCTGAGCCATCCAGACTCCTGTACAGAGCTCTTATAACTAAATTTCTAACCAGGATTAGTGAATTACAGTCTGCATGCACATCCTACTGCGTGTACCTTTTTACATTTGTAAAAGTTTTTTCATTTTCAAAGCACTCGGCAGGCTGGAGAGATGGCATTCGTTGCTCTTGGAAGGACCCATGTGTTAGTTCACAACCATTCATAGCCCCGGTTCCAGGGGATACAATGCCCTCTTGACTTGTCAAGCCTGGCTCTTTATAGGGGGAAAATACTATATCGTAAACAGTGGTAAACTATGGAGGTACACTCTTAGGTAGGACAAGACTGAAAGTCATTCACTTGGTACATGGATCCAGAAGTCAGCCACATTTTAGAAACCAAGTTGTAATTCAACCCCATTGAGTGTAATTGAGGAGCTTAAATGCCAGAGCTCATATAAGTTGGTTTATTTGACATTTGTGACTGGTGATTGAATGAACCCAGGGTCTTCCACTGAGTTATACCCCCAGCTGATTTGCATAGCTTTTGATGTTAGTGTAAAGGATACGGTTTTTCCTTTAAAATGATCAGCAGTTGTTCACTGTGACACCTTATCTTAAAGGAGCTATGTAGTCTACCAGAGGGACTATTGAAAAAAGCCTACAAGTGACGTCCCTTGTGGAGTGAAGGGAGGCAGCACTTTTCTCCTCAGGCAGTTCTGCCATAGATGCTCCCCTCCCAGTTTTTGAGAAAGGAACTTGTATGTTGCCCAGGCTCCTCCTAAACCCCAGGAAAGGAAACTGAACTTGCCCTAGCAGGAACAAGAAAGCCTAGGAAGATGGTTAAGTTCAGTCTGGAGAGGAAGGCTGGGTGCCCAGCCCAATCTGGCTGAGCAAATGCTGAGAGGAAGTGGAGGCTCCTGAGGACCAGGGGCCTTGCTGGAGAGAAAGGCTCAGGACGAGGGTGTGGAATGATGGCTACCCAGGGTGATGGATTATTCGCATGGGTGACAGAAACCAGGAGCTTTCGCTGCAGGCCTGCATGAATGAAAACCATCTAAGGGGGAGCCAAAGGCACTAGGTGCTAGTTGAATGGTGAAGACATTAGCAGGAAAGAACAAGGAACAAAAGCAAAAGCCACTCACTTGACTTTTATTCAATCTCAGGAATTTGGGGTTTTGCAATACTGTGGTGTCCCGCTGAGGGCTTCCAGACATCCAGCAGAAACTGGGGAAAGTGAGGTAGTCAGCCCGAATTCCCAATTGAGCTTTCTATTGTGGATGAGTTTCCAGGGTCCAGCCTCCCAGGCCTCCTGTAGGCATTCTTATACTTTGGGATAAACATTGCTGGAAATGCTTCAATTTTAAGCCAGGTGGTGGTGGCGGCGCACACCTTTAATCCCAGCACTCGGGAGCAGAGACAGGCAGATATCTGTGAGTTCGAGGTCAGCCTGGTCTGTAAAGTGAGTTCCAGGACAGGCTCCAAAGCTATAGAGAAACCCTGTTTTTAAAAAGAAAAAAATTAATTTTGCTGGGCAGTGGTGCACACCTTTAAATCCCAGCACTTAGGAGGCAGAGGCAGGTGGAGCTCTGAGTTTGAGGCCAACCTAGTCTATAGAGTGAGTTCCAAGATAGCCGGGGTTACAAAGAAAACCACTGTCCTGAAGCAAAAAAAGCTTTAATTTGGGGTGGGGGCAGGAGCTGGAGTGATGGCTCGGCAGCTAAGAGCACTGGCTGCTCTTCCAAAGGACCCGCCGCCCCCCCCCCCAACAGTGAACTTGGAAACCTTTTCTCCTCTAAATCGCCTTTCCCAGAATATTTTATCACTGCAAATAATGAAATGAAGATAACATGAGCATGTAAGTATTCATGTATCTACTTAAGAGATATTTATAATGACTGTTATTGCAACGTATCCTCCCAGAAGCATGATCTCCAAACCATGAATATTGTGGCAGAGCAATGTGACTTTGTTTGGGTTCCTAGGAGTGGTAAGTCAGCCACTGTGTGCAGTTTGTTTTGCTTTGCTTTTTGTTAAACCCACTTGGTCTTGAACTCCTGATCCTCCTTCCTAGGATTGCAGATGTTCACAACTATGCCTGCCCAGATCTACCTGTGTTTCTCTAACCTCGTGCCTGCCGGATACAGCGTGTCTTCACTGTTGCCGGCTGAGCCCTTTCTTCAGCCTCCTATCATATTCTTTGAAGAATAGAAACTGCACTTATCTCAGCCACACACACTGTTAAAGGAGGAACGCACAGTGCTTGCCGCCAAAGCTGACGACCTGAATCTGAGCCCCAGAACCCACATGGTGGAAAGAAAGACCCCCGAGTTGTCCTCCAAACCTCCATACATGTGCCGTGGGAAGCATTGACATATACACACAAGTTAATTAAAAAATAATGCCGTAGAAAGAATCCTGGAGTAATACTCAAATAGTGTTTGAACATATAATTAAAAGTTCCAGAGAAATACAATCTGGAAAATGCTTTCCTCGGCCACACAGAAGTTGGCGGTGTGAGGTCACAAACCTGCCCTGTTCCCTTTCCTCACTTGCTGACAGTAACAGGAGTCCATATTTTTTTTGCTTTCTCTCGTTTTTGTTTGTTTGCCCGTATTTTAATAGACCGGTCCTCAAGTTTTTCTTCCAAGTTGAGTAGCTGTTCTGTTGCTTCTCAATGACCACCACTGTGGTCAGAAAGCAGAAACCGTCTCCCGAGCTTGCCTGGGCTTCGAAGACATGACCATTTGAGTCCTCTGGTGCTTAGAGAGGAAAATATGTAAATAAAATTCCTTTATGCAAATGCTTCCAGCAACTCTCATTGCGAGCCAGATTCTTGTAAATCACGATAAACAGATGCTACTGAGCTAAATGACTAAGTGAGATTATGGAGATAGAGCCTATTTATCTTATTCAGTGTTGGGGAGGGAGAAGAAGATATTAACTAAATTTTCTCAGCCTGCATGATGATTAGGGTAGACACCAAGAACTCTATTAATTGATTTTAGCCGGCACAATGAGGGGACTAACCCACTGGAGGGCTACCCTGAATGGTAGAGCTTCTGTGGTAATTTAGTTTGTTTGACCATAGAACCAGGCAGGAAAGTTACCCAAGCAATCTAGCATCAAGCTTCTTGGGCCCCTGGTGTGTTCAATGTTTTGTTACTCTTTTTTTTTTTAACTTAAAAAAAAATAAAATTTACCATTTCAAAGCCTACAGTTCGTTAGCTTCCAGCACATTCACGGTGCTGTGTAGCGCCTCACTAACTGCAAAACATTCCCAAGTCTCTTACTCCAAAAACAGTGTTCTGAACCTCCTGATGCTGTGACCCTTTAATACCGTTCCTCACGTCGTGGTGACCTCCAACCTTAAAATTACTTCATAACTACTTCAGTACTTATAACCGCAGATTTGCTACTGCCGTGAATTGTAATCTAAATATCTGAGAGCTGTGGGGTCTCGACCCACAGGTTGAAAACGCGGATCTAAAGACTGCCTGTCCTCTCTCTTCTTCCCTCTCCAAGCTCCTGGACCCATCTGTTTCCTTTCTCTACAACTGCCGATTTTGGATATTTGGCATGCACAAGATATAGTGTTCCACTTAGGTTTCTGTTGCTTGGGTCAACATGATGTGACCAAAGGCACCTTGGGGCAGAAAGGGTTTATTTGGCTTACAGTCCTTCATTGAGGGGAATAGAGACAGGCACCATAGAGGAAGTGCTGCGCTGGCTTGCCTCCAGCGGCTTGCTCAACTTGCTTTTTTATATACCCCAGGGATACCTGCTCAGGGGTAGCACTGCCTTCAGTTTGAATGGTTTTCCTGTATGTATTTGAGTGTACCCTGTCCATACCGTGCTCTCAGAAATGAGATGAGGGCATCGGATCCCCTAGAACTGGAGTTACAGCCAGAGCCACCATGTGGGTGCTGAGAACTCAACCCCAGGTCCTCTGTAAGAGCAGCCAGTGCTCTTGACCATGGAGCCCTCTCTCCAGCCCCACTCTATTCTATTTTTTGAGATTATCACTTATTGTATGTGTGCAATATATGTCTCCATACATGTACATATGTATATACAGCACGGGCGGGAAGGCCAGAGGACAACTTGTCGGGTTTTGTGGCAAGTGGCTTTGCCCGCTGAGCCATCTCACTGGCTCAATTTTCTATTTGCACACTGCAGTGATTCTTCAAAATTGTGTCACTTTTTTTTTTCCAAGAAAAATTGTATTTAAGTGTGTGCGGTAGTGGGGAATAAACCCACTGTCTGATACAAGTGAGGCTGGTGTTTTCTCCCTGAACTACACACACAACTTGTGAATTTAAATTTTCTTCTCCCATTTTAGACACCTTAGCGTCTCTCCCAGGTTAGAACTCACCTTCCCTTACTAACATGTTTCCCTTCTTGTCGTC